TGGAAAGGACCTTGATGGGATCATAGAATGGTTTGGGTTGGAAGGGACCTTGATGGGATCATAGAATGGTTTGGGTTGGATCTTTATGGGATCATAGAATGGCTTGGGTTGGAAGGGACCTTCATAGGATCATAGAATGGTTTTGGCTGGAAGGGACCTTCATACAACCACATAGTGGTTTGGATTGGAAGGGACCTTCATGGGGTCATAGAATGGTTTGGATTGGAAGAGACTTTCATAGGATCGTAGGATGGTTTGGGTTGGAAGGGACCTTTATGGGATCATAGGATGGTTTGGGTTGGAAGGGCCTCCAAAGGCCGTCTGGTTCCCACTCCCTGCAATACGCAGGGACCCCCTCTGCTCCATCAGTGCTCAGAACCCCCTCCCCTGACTGTGGGTGCCTGCAGGGATGGGCAGCAGCCTCTCTCAGTGCAACCTGTGCAGCGCCTCACTACTTTCAGAGTAAACAACTTTTTCCTTCAAGCCAGGCCCCTGTGAAGTGCAGCTGAACCCGAGCTCCTTGTTCCGAGCGCCGTCCTTGTGCCCATCATGGACTGCTGCAGCCTCAGAGCTCTCCGACCCACCTGCCCCAGCCCAGAGCTTCTGCTCTCTCCCCACCACTCTTAAGTTATGTGTTTGTATGGGAGGAAGAGTGTGAACGAGCGGAGCGTGGTTGAGGTGCTGTGCTCACCGGTGAGACCCCAGTGACCTCCAGCCCCTGGAACCAGTGGGGCAGTCCATGGCGAGGCAGTTGTACCTGCAGTGGAGAGACTGGCTGGGACGTATTAAGGCAAAGCCAATGTGTGAGTGCACTGGGGCCTGATGAGCAGTGAGGGAGGCTGCCAGCCCTGCAGGAGTGCTCTCAGTGATCCCTGGAAGGTGGTGGTGGTGGTAGGGAGATTCCCTGAGGGCTGGAGGAAAGGAGATGCCAGCAGTGTCTGCAGGTGCAGAGGAGGGGCTGCGAGGAGCTTCGAGCTGCCACTGCCACCCCAGGAGCTGATGGAGCACTGAGCCCTGGAGGGGTGGGGAGGTGGATCTGTGGAGAGGAGGAGGTCCTGCTTGACCAAGTCAGTAGGGCTGTGCCAGAGATGCCTGCCTGCAGGGTGAGGGCAGAGCAAGGGGAGGTTGTTCTTGACTTGGGGAAGGCTTTTCATGTTGTCTTGTGTAACATCCTCACGGACCAACTGGTGGAATATGGAGAAGCTTAAAGTTTGCCTTCTGTTGGAATAGACTCGGTTTGCTGTTACCCTAAAATCTGTGTTCAGCTTGCCGCCAGACAAGCTGAAATTTCAGTCCTCCCAGTCCTCACGAAATATCAGATCTTAAAACAGGAGCACTGCGAGTGAAGAGCCAAGCATAACAGCGCAGGAACAGAAGGCTTTGAGGAACAAAACGAGCTTCCTTCCACCAGGGACCAGTTGGGAAGTTGTGAACACCAAGTATGAGATGGGGAATTTTCCACTGGGAAGCGTTAGCGGACTTGTAATGCACGGACAAGAGCAGTGGGGAATACAGTGTGGGATTTGGGTCCGTTCCAAATGGTGACAGCATGGCAACCTTTGGAGTGAGGAGCGTTAGCATCTCGGGAAGGATAAGGAGGAGAGGCTTAAAGGAAGCTCCTCCTTGGCTGCTGAATCAGGGTGTTCTTTTCCCCCTTGCTTCCATCAGGATTAAAGCCTGGAGGAGACGGTCGTGTTGCTCCCTTCTATGGGGGATCTGCTTTGGCTGTCACGGAGGAGTGCACAGTTTGTGAGTGGTCCTGGTGTCTGGATTTGGCAGTGGGGGACACAGGGACGGGTCCAGCAGCGCTGTGACATGATGGGGCAGCTGAGCTGGAGGTGGCACACGTGGCAGGGTGGCTGTGTGTCACCTTATGGCCTTGGGATGCAACGCTTGACCCAGTCCCTGCAGAGAGAAATATCCGAGTGACCCCTGGTACAATGAATACAAACTGCAAGAACCTCCTTCAGGGTGTGGGGGCTCAATCAGGGCTCTGCTCTGCCTCCTGCACTGTGCCCAGCCCCCTCCGAGGTGTTCAGCTAAAAGCAGCGCAGCAACAAATCAGAGAATCAGCCAGAGCTGAGAACTGGAACAGATTGATGGGCGGCTGTTAATTCATCAGCACTGCTGTCCAGGGCTGTGGGTGCCCCATCCCTGCAGGTATCCAAGGGCTGTGGATGGGAACCTGGGCTGGCTGAGCTGGGGGAGCACCCAGCCCATGGAAGGGGTGGGCAGGAGGGGCCTTGGGGTCCCTTCCATGGGGAGTTGGACTCGATGATCTCTGGAGGTCCCTTCCAACCCCTACAGTTCTGTGATTCTGTGATTCCAACACAAGGCATCCTGTGATTCTATGAACCGCTTGCAGTGCAGACTGCAGAACAACAAGGCAGTCCCTTCACAAGCCGTTGCTGGTTGCCTCATCGCTTCAGCCCCTGACAGAGGGCCTTCTTCTGACAGAGGAGATTCCTTGTCTTCTGCTGGGCATGTGGTGGTGGGAGGGGATGCCCAGCAGCCTCCAAGATTAGTGCACACGTATTGGGACAGCTTGTAAGATGGTCTTGGGAGACCTGCCTGTTTCTGGGAGAAGTGGCTCTTTTTAACTCTCAGCTTGACTTGAGGACACTTGAGATCAACATGGAGATGATGTTCATGCTGTCAAAGCCACAGGGTTAAGGACTTATCGTGGTATTGGAGAAGCAGCTATAAAGCAAAAGCGTGAGGAAATGCAAATCTACCATGGGCTCGCCATCAGGCTTCGCTTTACCTTGAGGATTGGGCTCAGTGGGTCAAGCTGGAGGTTGTCCTTGGGTTTGTGTCCCCTATTGCTGTGGGGTGGCAACAGCTGCTCTTGGAGCTCCAGAGCAAGTCCCAGGAATCCCCGTGTCCTGTGCCAGTCGGAGGTCTCTGTATGTGGCAGCCTTGGTTTTAAGGACTCCCTCCTTGGATAACACCAAGGGAATCACTTCCCTCTGACAGCAGCCACCATGGGATGCTGAGTCTTGATGATGATTATTATTTTTGTCTCAACGTGAAATGAATTGCAGGCACAAATGTCACGCCGTAATGCTTTCCAAAGGGTGCATCAAAAGCTTATTGCTTTTGGGCCATGTGCAGCAGCTTTAGTTGAGCTAAAATAGCTTCCTCTAGGCTGCGCGTGGCAGCAGAGCTCGCGGTGTTTCCTGCAGTTGGGGAGCTGTGGTCACCCCAATAGGTGGGAGGGAACCAGAAAGGTGGAAGCACAGCAACTCCTGGGCTGGGATGGTTTGCTAGGGAAAGCCAAAGCTCCGTGTGCCATCAAAGCACCACCAGCAATTCGTTCACCACGTCCAGTGGGCAGTGGGTGTGCAGCCACGTGCAGGGCTCATCCCGTGGGTCGCTCCGAACATCTGCCCCTTCCTGCATCCTTACCCCAGGTTTTGCTGCTGAGCACAGTGCTGCAGGGCACGGGATGCCCCTGTGCTCCCTTTGGGTCGGTGTGGTGCTGCTGTCTCCTCCCAGAGCCCCCCAACCCCCCACCACTGCAGCGCAGCACAAAACATCCTTGGCTCCACGCAGCGCAGCCAAAACATGGCTGCCTTATCACTGCTATTTTCAGCTGGGGCTGCTCTCCTTCTCCGCTTTTCTGATCAGGAAGGTGCAAATCGTTGTCCTCGGAGTGCACGGATTCACGAGGTGCACTTCAGCCATTTGCTGGGTGAACAGGGATGACGCCTGGGGGCTCTGGGTGCGACGTATGGATGGTGAACATCCCGAAGGAGGAGAAGTGGTGCTCAGCTCCCTTCCTTCTCCCTGGGGTTACACCTACTTTCTGTGCTCACGCATTCTGGGGATGATGACCATTTGCTCTGTGGCCACAAGCAATGTCATGGTTGTGTCTGAGGCAAAATGACCCAAAAAATGACCCCAGAAAACGCAGATCTTTCTTGCAGATCCAGATAACATAAGGCTGGGGGGTGAGGGGGAGGAAGGGTTGCAGATAACTTAGAGACTGACACGGGGATGGGTTGGCGTTGGACTTGATGTTCTTTGATGCTCTTTCTCAACTTGATTGAGTGCTGAATCAGTCAAACATACCATTGGTGGCAGTGGTTTTCGTGCAGCCCCGCTCGTGCCCAGGTGCACCACAGAAGGTGCATTGGTTTGTAGCTCCTCAGCAGCTGGGATCCCAGCAGCCTGGCGGCGTCCTTCCTCGGTCAGCAGTTGCTGAGGAGTTCCAGCTGATCGCTCCCTGGTTTAACGAGGACACTCCTGGGTGATCCTCAGTTACAGCTGCCCTGACTCTGAATTCATTTGATCTTCAGAGCGCATTTTAAGACCTCCTTTCTGTTCCTTTAAGCTTTGGGGAAGTGAAAACAAGGCTTAATGCACGGGGCGACTTTGGCTGACATCAAAGAACCCTGGTGCTTGGTGTCATTTTATTTTGTATTGCATTGCCTGTTAGGACCCCTCAGTTCTCACAGTGACCCATGTTGTTACCATTACCAATTTCCTTCCTTCTCCACATCTTGTTTCTGCACACAGCTGTGATTTCTCTGCTCCGAGGGCTCTTTGCCCCATCTCGTTGCGCTGCTAAATTACCATGAGAGTAGACTGATCGATGCGGTTTGCCTTCCTGTCTCCAGGAGCACACATTAGCTGTGTTCTCCCTTGGAGGATGCCCCACGCTTGGCTTAAAGGGAGTTGCCTGGGCAGTGTCCCCCTGTCCCACTCTGCTTCTATCAGCAGCCCGTGGTGACGTGAGGGATGCTCGGCCCTGCTTGGTGTTTGCGTCGTGTGGCTGCACAAAGGCACCGTCTGCCCTTTCTCTCTATGTGACCTGGGTGACAGAGCATCCCAAGGGCTCCACGAGGGGCTCCTGCACACCTGCCTGCCTCCCGATGAGCTCTGCGCCCTCAGCCCTTCTGCGTTCCCTCCGATGTGACGCTGCTCCGTGTCCTTCCGCCCTCCCCATTTTCGGGGCCCCTTTCCAGTTCTCATCACCTCTCTGTTTCTTCCCGCAGTGCTAAGCATTGGCGAAGGTGGCTTTTGGGAAGGAACTGTGAAAGGAAGGACCGGCTGGTTCCCAGCAGAATGTGTCGAGGAGGTGCAGATGCGACAGTACGACCCGCGGCAAGGTGAGCTGCTCTGCGACGGCGGCGCCTCTCATCGCGTGCACGGAACAGCCCCAGAAATTCACAAGCCTCCATTTTAAATTTCTGTCCCTCTCAGGGTTTGCCTGTGATGAATACATCTGATGAGCCGCGTTGCTCGGGGTGTCAGCTCGTTTACTGTGTGCCCAGCAGCACAGCTTGACCCATGAAGGTGGGGTGCAGTTGTGAGGAGAGCATTCAGTGCTCCTTTCCGTACAGGTTTTTGTAGTGATGGAGCGAAAGCGTGCGACTGTTGAGCTGAACCTTCAAGCCAGCAGTGTTCTGTGGCTTTAAGGTCAACAAGCCCAACAAGCAGTGTTGGGCCCCTCACTGCAAGAAAGATATTGAGGCCCTGGAACGTGTTCAAAGGAGGGCAACAAAGCTGGTGAGGGGTCTGGAACGCAGGGCTGATGAGGAGAGGCTGAAGGAGCTGGGAATGTTCAGCCTGGAGAAGAGGAGGCTCAGGGGAGACCTCATTGCTCTCTATAACTGCCTGAAGGGAGGCTGTAGTGAGCTGGGGGTCGGCTCTGCTCTCGTGTCATCTGTGATAGGAGCAGAGGGAATGGCTTCAAGCTACGGCAGGGCAGATTCAGGCTGGACATGAGGAAGTGTTACTGTTCAGAAAGGGTGGTCAGGTGCTGGAATGGATGCCCAGGGAGGTGGTGGAGTCACCGAGCCTGGGGGTGTTCAAGGAAAGGCTGGATGCTGTGTTGAGGGACGTGGTTTAGTGGGAGCTATTGGGAATGGGTGAACGGTTGGACCGGATGAGCTTTGAGGTCTTTTCCAACCTTGGTGATTCTATGATTCTGCAGGAGCCTTCGTTGGGCTGAGGCCGATGGGATGAGGTTGAACCGAGTGCTCAGCACTCTCTGCCACTCCTGAAAGGAGGTCGTGGCGAGGGGGGTCGGCCTCTTTTCTCAGGTGAAAAGGGATGGGATGCGATGAAACGGTCTCAAGTTGTGCTGGGGAGGTACAGACTGGATGTGAGGATGAATTCCTTCCTGGACAGAGTGATCTGACAGAGGGATTGGAATGGGCTGCCCAAGGAGGTGGTGGAGTCTCTGTCCCTGGAGGTAGTTGGAGGACGTGTAGACATGGCACTGAAGGACGTGCTTTAGTGATGGGACTCCGTAGGTCTGACTCATGGTTGGACCTGATCTTGAAGGCCTTTTCCAACGTGGGTGATTCTAGGAAAGGTTTTGACCTGGTAGCACTTTGCTGGAGGAGAGGGCCATGCCAAACTTGCAGATGTTTCCAGCTGTGCTTACAAACTGAGGAAAGTGGTGGGGTTGTGTGACAGATGTCTGACTCTTGTTGAGGCAGGTTGAAGACGGCTATGACACGGTTGAGAGCAGCTCAAGAAACGCATTGGGGTTGTCAATGAAATTTAGAGGGAACAAGTTCCAGGGCTGACGTTTTGGAGATGTATTTCTTCAACCTGCTCGTGTTTTCGTGCTTTGGGGGAGAAGGCCACGAGCTGCACGTTGATCTGTCTTTAATGAGGCGGTAATGGTGCCTCTAGGAAAGAGCTTCCTTCCCAGATCACACTCTGTAGACCCGCGGTGCTTATTGGCTTGGAAGAAGAATGTCTGGTCACCCACCTCAGTTTCAGGTCCCGAGAAACTTAAGCTTTTCACTTTCCAGTCAGGGCCTCATTAAATATCTTCTGTCTGTAGAACCAAAATTCTCTGGGGTTTAAGGATGGGTTTTTCCATTGAATAACTCACTTTCTGTCGGTTCTGAGTTTATTTCCTACAGCGCATTGGGTCAGAGGTCTTTATGATGACCGATAGCGAGGTGCTCTCTCACGTAGCGTCCTGATGTTCCAAGAGGAGATGCAGGTTCTCATTCTCAGTCCCATCGCTTCATTCTACTCTCCAGCAGCACCTCCAACTCCATACCCTGCGTTCTGCTCCAAGCGGTATGACATTGGAGTCAGGAAATTCATGTCTTTGTGCTTTCCATGGGGCTGGAACAGGCCTCTGTGGCAGTCTAGAACCATCAGCAGGTGGTTTTCATTTTGGCTGCTGGCTGCCCTGAGAAGGAAGGTATGGGAATCTGCATGCAGACACCATCAGCTCTCCGTCCCTGGGCCGCTTGTGGGACCGTGGTGCAGAGATGTTGGGCAGTGGGAGTGCATCCCCGTGCCAGAGGGGCCGTGCTCCTGCTCTTGCTTGCCACACAGCTCCATTCAACGTGCAGAGCTGCTGTGGAGCATCGCCGGCTCGTGGTGTGGGCAGCATCTGCACTGCTGCCTGGGAGCCCGCGGGTCTCTTTCCAAGTGATGTTGGATGGTGGTCTTCCTGTGTGCAATTTTGACTGGGATGAAGCAGCAGGAGTTGGTGTCAGTGCCCGTGGGTATGTCAACTTCTTGTGCTCCTTCCTCCTGTCCTCATTGTGTCCCCGAGGGCCACAAAGCTCAGAGTGTGAGCGAGGGAAGTGCCTTAAGGAGAGATGGAGGCGAAGGAAGGCTGAGGGTGAGGAGTGCAAGTGATGCACAGACTGCAGAAACAGAGAGAGCACCAGACCCGAAACCTTCGGATTGCTCTGAAAAACGATGACGCGAGGTATCTTGGTAATAAGGAAAGAGTCTGGATTTTTATAGCTGGCGAAAAAAATGTAGTGAAGCAAATGGAGCTGACTTTCTCCAAGTAAGTTAAAAGAAAGAGATGGAATTTGAAGAGAATTTTTTAAGTCAGAGGTACAAACCCCATCTCCAAGGTATCCCAGGCACAAGAGAAATCTTGTGGGTAGGGAATCCAAATGTGAGAGTCTGAAAGAAGCCCATAGGAAAGAGCAGAGCTCCCCAGGAACAAAGACTGGGGTTTGTCTGCAAAGAAATCTCTGTGAGAGGGATCTGAAATTCTAAATATAATATGCACCTTGCCAAGCACACAGCACACAGGAATCTTGAATCATCTATTTCTCCTCTTACAGTTCTCGCCTGTACAAATGAATGAGTGAGGAGAGCAGGAGCAGAGCTGTTAAGCAGTGAGGATGAGGAGAGATCAGAGCTAAATAGACGAAGCTCCAGGTCCACAGAACACTTACCTGCATGTGTGGGAAGGTGGACGGACTGGCTGAGCTGGGGTCGACGTGCCACCATGCCCCTGGCTGGGGCCCATCCGTGTATCTGTAGGATCTCTGGGTCTCTGTGGGATCTCCGGGTCACTCTATGGGGTCTATGGGGCGCTGTGTGTTTTTATGGGGTCTATGGGTCTCTGTGGGCTCAGCAGCTCTGTCCCACTGTGGGTTGTGGGCCCGGGGCTGTGCTGGAGATGTCCTGGTACCCGGCCAGCTGTTGTCCTGCAGTCCAGACCTCGGCCCATGGACCGGCTGTCCTCAGAGCTGCCCCTGCAGTCCTGCCTGGTGATCGTTAGTCCTTACCCTAATGCCAACCTGCAGATTGGCTTTCAGGCTTGTTTTGAGACCTGCCCTGTGGCCACAGTGCTGTTCTTGCAAGCTGGGCTCGTTGCTGGAGCTGGCCCTACACAGGCTGCCTCGGTCCTTGGCCAGTGAGGGCGGTCTGGCTGGGGATCCCCAGGTTCCTGACCCAGATTCCCATCGGGAGCAGCCAACCCCTGCAGACCCCATAAACCATGGGCCCCAATGCTCTGAGAGAAATAATATGGAGCGTTGGTGGAGGTTTCTGTTGGGGAGGCCGTAGATCAGAGGTGGGCAACCGAAAAATGGTTGGCGAAGGAAAATGTCATCGTTTGAGCTCATTTGGATTTTGGGGCAGAGCTCAACTGCATCGTGGAAAATTATTAGTGAGGGTGGAGGAAGTGTGGGGGAGCACGAGAAGTTTGTCATCTGTTGCTGGCTGATCAGTGGTTGCATCTGTTAAGCGTTTTCAATGGGAGCTGTGGCCAAAAGAAAACGGGAATGTGCCGCTCGTGTCCCCTGGCGAAGTCGGATGCGGTGAGAAGGTTTTACTTGGAGAGGTGGATGAGTCGGTGTGACAGAAACAGGATGAAATTCAGTAGGATAAAAGGCAGGATCTTGCAGGAAGAACGCTGGTATTGTTGAAACAACTGGAGGGGTTCTTGCATTGGAGCTCTCCTGCCCTGCAGAGCTCACCGGTCTTTGGGGAAATGCTGCTTGGAAATTGAAGGACAAGCTTGGGTTTGTGAAGCAGAACGTGCCACACGCAGGCAGCCTGTTGTCACAGTAACTTGTCCGTGGATTGCGAGGTGTGATAACGGAGCATAAGCTCTCCCCTGCACTGCCAGCCTGGAGCCTGGCCTTGGTAAAAACCCAGGGCTGTTTGGAAGCACCTTGCTACTATTTCCGTCTCTCAAGTTTTGCTTGTTTGGAACGGTGGTGTAGCATCTGTTCTGGGAAACATTCCGTGCTCCTTATCTGCTTCCACGTACAAACCTGACTGGAGAGAAGTGCAAAGGAAGCCCCTTGCAGGCTGTATCTGAAGAGCACTGTGAGCCTCCTGGCTCTGTTTTTTTGCCCTATGGCTGCTTCCCGGCCCTTGGGGAGCAGAGCTGCTCCTTCCCTCCGCAGTGGCGCCCAGGAGTGCAGGCAGCATCAGTCCCAGGGTTGGGTTTTGCTGAGCTGCAGAGCGCCCAGGAGGGGCTGGGGCTGAGCCAGAGCTGCGCTGAATGCTGGGCACCAACAGCTTTGGCAGAAGGGTTTGGCAAATGGTTTCTTTTCCGTGGAAGAGTGAGAGCAGCCAGCTTTGCGCCGAGCGGCAGAGGTTTCTTTTCTCATTACTTCTCACCTGCCCGCGTGTTTGTCACAAGATTTTCTATTGTTTCCATGGAATCCTAGAATGGCCTGGGTTGGAAAGGACCGCAACGATCATCTAGTTTTGACCCCCCCCTGCTACGTGCAGGGTTGCCAACCACCAGACTGGGCTGCATTGTTACAGCTGTGGTTTTCCATCGTTGCAACATCTGTGTTCACAGAATCTCAGTATTATTCAGGTTGGAAAACACCCCTAAGATCACCCAGTCCAACCCCAACCCATCCCC